AGTAGTAGTAGTAGTAGTAGTAGTAGTAGTAGTAGTAGTAGTAGTAGTAGTAGTCAGTAGTAGTGGTCATTCTGACTGAAATGCGGATGTCGTTCAGAGGTCGCTTTTTCGCCGAGAAATTTGGCTAAATACTGTCCATCGGTGGTGAGCAGCAGCAGCAGCAGCAGCAGGAGCAGCAGGAGCAGCACCAGCAGCAGCACCAGCAGCAGCACCAGCAGCAGCAGGAGCAGCAGGAGGAGCAGGAGCAGGGGCAGCAGAAGGAGCAGGAGCAACAGCAGGTGCAGGAGAAGCAAGAGGAGCAAGAGCAGCAGCAGCAAATACATGATGTACGTAGTTAAGGAGGTCGTTCCAATGTCGTTTTGGACGTCGTCTGGAGGGTCGTTCCCCAACTAAATAACACATTCCACAAAGACAGAAAACATCAGAAATAGCTGCGGCGGTGCGTGGAATTCTGAACGAAGGATCCGACAATACTACTTTGCATCAATCCACCTTTTTTTTCTGGCTCATATGTGGTTTAAGACTCATAACAAGAAAAAATGAAACTATCACAATCAATGATCATGGGTTTGGACCATTTCCAAGATCCCGTGGCAGTCCCGTGTGGTGGGCTCCGTCCGACGAGTTGGTCGAAAACAACAGAAAACGCTTCTGTTTCTTGGCCAACTCGTTATGTCCTTTCCTAAGGGTTTAACCTTTAGTGGACAGTAAAGGTCTTTTTCAGGAGATACTGGGGTTCAGACGTGGACAGTGGACTCTTTTCGGGTTGAAGATGGGTTTCGTGATCTGCAAAGGCGTCACCGAACTCCAAGGCGGACAGCGAACTGTTCACTGTCTCATTGTGTCACGCTGCCTCACGACCTGCACTCCCCCGGTTCACACGACGCACCGTGAACCGCGCACCGTGAACCGAGCTTCACGGCTTGCTGGATTGGCGTCAGGTCATGCCGAACCATCGGCACTCCGTTCAAAACACCCCGGAACGTCCGAGCTTGGCGTCCCCAACACACAGCGTTTTTGGTCATGCAGGTTGGACCAAGAAAAAATGCACTGCGCTGCTGCGCTGTACTTGCGGTTTTGTTGTTCAACCTCTGTACAAGCAAGGACAGGACACGTGATGACACATGCAGAATCGAAAAAAGAAAGCCCGTACAATCCTCTTAAGCCATCATGAAGTGGCCAAGCAACATCCTCTTCTTCCATCAGCTTGCCCACCAACCCCTAATCACCCTCATCTAGCTGTGTGTGTGTTTTCACTAGAATGGACTAGAATGGACCAACAAAAACACGCAAACTTAGTGAACACAATATGTGCAACACCTCCAACAAATTCATGCAGAACAACATCTGGCCGGGCAGGAAGTTTGGTCCATAGGATTCCGAACAGCAAACGTGTTGCTCCGGGTCACACACCATATTCCACCCCAATGAGCGAGCGCCACCCACGATGACCACCGCCGCGTGCCGGAGATAGCTGTCGTTCTCGTTCACGGGCATCCTTGCAGTGGGAAAGCATCGGGTTGAGACCTCGGGTATTCCATTCATAGACATGTTTGGAATGGATATTGGATACTTAAACAACACATATTTTTTCTGTTTGCAAAACAAACACAGCAAATATACGTAATGCATCTCATACAAATATGCAGTAGGTTTCTCCTATACAACTCTTGACAACTGCCGATGGACTCCCGTTTAAGCTGCATCTGTTGATGGAAGAACTTCTGCAACACGTCCCAAACCAACAGAATCAAATTCACCGTTTTCATCTTTATGTTATGTTGCATGATGTTGCATGATCAACGCGCATCATGATGGTGATGGGAACAAAACACATTTGGACTCCCAAAATCTTCGGAGCTGCTACATTGTGTCTGTTAACAACAACCCCCCTGTGCTTGGAGGTTGACAAAATCCGCTGCCCGAGGCTGAAGGTTTGCGAACCGCATCATGACAACTGGCACCGATCTCGGCACCACACATTCAAGCTGCTAGAATCCAACATCTCGGCACCTCACATCCGGCTATGTAGCTATTGTTGAAAGTGCACAGCGCTTTTTGGTCAACCCAATCAATCTCTTTCACATCTCAATCAATCGCTGCAAAACATCTGTTCTCCGGACGTTGATGGTCAAAACTTCAGCGTTGTCCTTGTGGTCGCGCTCGTGGTCGTTGTGCTCGCGGTTGTGGTTGTGGTGCTCGTTGTGCTCGCCATCGTTCCGTCGGTGGACCACCTCGTGTCGGTGGTCGAGGAGGAGCTTCTCGTCGTTGATGCACTGTCAGTGTCGTCGGGAGGCACCTTGATTGTGGTGGTGCTGGAAATGGAACAGGAGGCATATTAGACTTCTAACCGAAACTCCAAAGAAGCTAAAGACTAGGCGAAGAGTCGTTCAGTGACTCGGAACTGTTTGCAAATGCACAAAGAATACTAGTTACTAGATGGGCGTGCAATCAGATTAGAGAATACCCCAAACACGCAGATTAGACAGCGGGTTTTCTCTCTTTCAATACACGCCCAGGCTTCTACAGTCACAAGACGTCCAGGTTTTTTGGAGTCCATCCCCACAAACGTTCGAGGGCTGCGGGAAATTATTGGGATGATTGGGAAGTGAAGGTGGGTTGCTTCCGGCTGTCACCTTTGAATCGTCCCAGTGCCGGATGAGATGTTGGAAGTGGTTTAAGCGGTGCAAGGGCTTGGGCTCATGAACACATCTCAAAATTCATCTATACCTTCCATTCTTCCACGGAGACCCACATGCGCTGGATGCCGGCAACTATACTCCTTGTTCTCATATAACTATTAGAACATCTTTGAAGCATTCTTATTCAACAACCACCCACCACCAGAACCAGGAGAGGACACCCTCCCACTTCATTTCACGCCAAGAAGCCTTCCTCCTTTCTTCCACCGCCATCAGCTCGCCCCCGCGCGACTTCTTCGTCGCAGCAGCAAGCGACATTCGCAGGCGTTTCTCCCAGACAACAAGGATGGGGGACGCTGCCAGGAAGAAGATGAGGAGGCCGCAAAGCCTTCGGATGAAACAGGAAAGACCTTGTTTTTGGTCTGCGGACCAGGAACAACTCTGTAATACGGGTGTGAAATCTAAAGCAACATCCAGAAACCGACTAAGTGTCGTTCTTGGTTGGTGTTTGCGCTTGTTGTGACAACACCCCACTGAAATTCACCATCAACCAGACCAGAGCGCCGGGAGTTCCAGAGTGAAGAACCGAAGAAGCAAATTGGAAAGAAGGGAACATGGAAGACATTGGACAGTTTCTTTCAACCATTCTTCCCCACGTTCTTTTCTTCTATCCAATACATGTTCTTCAGATTCATCACGCTTCATGATGAAATGGGCCCTCCTCGCCTCTTGCAAGCCATGGCACCGCGATGGTCTCGCGCATCGATGGTCGCGCCATGCCCAAAGACAGTTTCTTTTGTCGGAGGAAGGTCAATGGTTTGGCTTGGGCAGATGGGAGGCCATTGCTATTAGGTTGGAGTGGAGGCCATTGCTATTAGGTTGGAGGCCATTGCTAGCAGGTTGGAGGCCATCGCTATTAGGCTAAGTTAGCTTCTTTTTTTTTATCGTTATTTTTATTGTGGTTTGGCTTGGGTAGGCCAACATGCTTTATGGGGTCGATGGGTGATCTGAGACCTTGCACATGCAGTGATGACCTGGTGCAATCTGACGACCTGGTCATGCTCATAACAATGCTCATAGAACCTCAAGAGGGCCTACTGACTCAGTTTTAATTACATATTGGAATTTCAGCTTGAACTTTCAATGAAGAACTCTGAGAGGTCTCCACGATCAGGCTGTCAATGACGCTCCTTCTTGTTCCTCCTTTCAACCTTTTTCATCACTCCGGTTTGAGCCCCCTTCCGGGTCCACACACTGGTCGGTTGGGTTTCAAGGCCAAACACGGTGGTTGGTGCTAAGCATTTCAGGCGTCTGTCAAGGATTTTTGGTGTTTCATCGCAGGCGTCTGGTCACCATGCATCAAATTCCTGCGCCTGGTCACCCCAAAAAGTCAGGAAAATACACATTTCGTGAGCACGCACTTGCAGGGAGTCAATGTTTGCTTTGGGCATGTCCAGCTCTTGCTGCAAAACAGACTTGCTAAAAGCACTTTGGCTGGAGCCAAAATGAGCCAAAGAAGCAGCATAATGCAATAAAAAGAACTGGGTCATGAGTCAAGAAAACATTTCAGATTCAGCACTCGTCCAAACTGACTACATAAGTCAAAAGGACCGGCCTGGGTACTCATGAGTAGATTGGAGTACATGCTTCATCCAAACGACTGACACTGCTCATGGCGACACAGGACATGTCTTGGGCCAAACAACCATAAACAAACTCTACACTCCCTGAACTCATCATGGTTAAGTGGATTACATGGCCTCGAAAGGATGACCATGAATTCTTCCGAATACCGGTCGACTCTTGATGATTGAAGCCCCCAAAAGGACCCCAAGATGGGGGGCTTTATGTTTATATCAAGACCAACAAGACCCCACTGGACGACCAACAAGGATTCTAAAAGCCCATTTCACCAATAGAATCAATAGACCAATACTAGTACTGTAGTATAAAGATTCTACACGATATGACCAAAAAATTTTCCTAAACGTCCAACTGGATGTGCTGCGCACAAAAATCTGCTGGGTCCACCGTTGGTTCCCATGTGGTGCTCGGCGGCATGAGCCGTTCGGTCCAAACCTCTATAGTGACGGTCATGGTCGGTTCCCAACATGACGAAACCCTCTGAACTGGCAGGGACATGTCGGGACTGCAGTGACCCCACTCCCGAGCAGGCAGCTGTTAACTGCGTCAACCAAAATGTCCACCGGTTCTTGTTGATCACAGGTTCTGCATGGTTCTGCCAATGTCAACAAAGGTGAAAATATAGGATCCACTGAGTCCAGCATCAAATCTCTCAAATCTCACCACAGGCGACTGGCATCTTTCTTTAAATTCATATGGCTACCTCATAGGTTGGGGATGCTTGCTACCCCCGCAAAAAATAAGGTTTCTCAGGTGATCCTCTGAGTCCCGGGACCGGCAGGTGATCCACCAGGGCGTCCCAAAGAAAGGGCGAGGCAAGACTTGCTACCTTCCCCTCCAGCTGCACCAGTGTGTCTTGTTTCCGGTTCCATGTGAGTCTCTTCAGGGCGTAAAGCGAAAATAATCTTGCAACCAACTGGTGTATAGACATCAAGTCAGTGATGGGTTTGGACCTGAAACTAACAATAAGCAGCTTCTGCGTGCAGCTATCAGGATTATTCCTCTGCTTTCAAGCACTGCCTCACAACAGCTATCCAGGATGTCCCAAAGAACTGTATGATAATTTATGGGTCGTAAGGGCCAAACACTCAACATTTTGGTGTAAAGCAGTCTCCGCCGTGGATCCTTTTCTTGGTGTTCCCTGCCGCCAAACACACATCTGGCCAGCCTTCATCTCTGGTGTGGCTGAGCCAACGCGTTGGATCAGCGCCTGGAAAATCATTTGTTTTGGTCCTATTAATTGATACCAAAGACTGCGCAAACAACAAAGACATGAACCAAACATGGAGCAACGCCTGGTGAACTCAGTGACATGGAGAATTGCCATTCCCGGATTGTCCGTGGTCCGGCTTTTGGCAGCGAAGTCTGATCCGCCTAGTTATGGTTGATATGATGTTGACAACAGTCGCATCCCAGTATGGTCTTCTTACCCTCCAGGCACGGTGACGGGAGCACCCCAACATCAGAGATGCTTTTTGGGAAAGTTTTTAGTGAAAGGCTCAATACCGTGTCTAGGAGGACACAGAGTAGCTCCCCAAACGCAACGGAAAACGAATACCCAGTTGACCTCTCCATCAGGCAACTATAATTAGTGCCCGGTGCCGTCAGATCTTGGGTGTGAAGGTTGACCTTTGCAAAGTAGCATCTGCCGCGGTCGGCCCCAACAGGTTGAAGGGCGCGAATTGGCAAACCTCCAATCCATGGATGTGATTGGATCTAAAACGGTATTATTATATATTATATATACAGAACAACTTACAAGACAGTCCTGACACCATATTGACACTGTACAAAAGATATACACCAATTTTAAGTGTCATATTTGATTGATGTTGGTTTGAATATAGACAAACTATTTGGTGTCATTGCACATTGAATGAGCACACAGGATTTCAAGAGGTGACTTAATACCTCTTGAATCGTGTGACTAGGTACTGTAATCTCATCAAACACATCTTGTGCACAGAAAAAGGACCACCCAACATGAATGGTTGTGACTCAGTCCCAACCTGAATCGCTTGTCGATGGATTCATGATTTCAAACCTCAGGGCTGGGCCCCAAAACCCGGACGGTGCCAACAGCCCGGAACACCGGTGTCGCCGGGGGCCTCGCAACTGGGCCGTGCCTCCTTCTGAGGCTTCACCTGGCGGATGGGTACTTGGAGGATGAGGCCGACGACTGACGAGCTGAGTAGGTGGGAGAAAAGAAAGAAACATGAGGGCCTTGATGAGTAGTAGAGTACAACCATCATCGAATGTAAAGAACAATGGAACTCTATGAAAGAATTGAGGACACCGTTCTCCACCGAACTTGAGGGTCACAGCCAGGGACCGTTATAGGTTTGTTTAAGTGACCAATCTCAACCCGGGCTTTCAAAGGGTCAGTTTGAAGAAACAGGAACCCCTTATGATATGGATACAACTGGAGTTCTGAGGGGAGGGGTGGTTCAAATGCCAAATCCCACGGAGAACTTGAGCCAAAGCACCTTGAAAATGAACCAACACGACCCGCTCAGAAGCCTGTCGACCCTCTGCCTTCCCCGGTCTTCCCCATCCGCACGACCCCAACGCAGCAGGCACCATCTCTTGGAGCAGAAGTTGCACGGGGTGACTGAGCTGCCTCAAGTGTTGCACCTCTGCGGAGCGGGGTGCTAAGGGCACTTGGGATTGGATAAAGTATATAGAACTGGGAGAAAAGTCGCAGATTCGTTTCGGGGATTCATTCTTGTCAAGGCGGACGAAGTCAGAGATGGAACCACTAGGTGAGAAATTCCCATCTGGAAGCATCATCAAATTCCAAGCCGAAGTAATTGTTCTGATGCGAACCCTGGGATTCCCCCCTTGGGTTGTTCAGCCCAGAGTGGTTGAATACGCCAGAATGGAAGGTCTGTGTGAAGTCAGCAAAGCCTGGAGTCCATCCCATGGAGGCGATCTGAACAGTGAAGACCACGGAGTCTCGGTGCTGGCTTCCATGATTGCAGACATTAGATGATCTATCTTGGTGCAACGCAAGCTCGTGGTGCAAAGCAGGAACATGTTATTTTTTCACTTTGCGTGTCATCTCGCACTTACAAAACTCATTGTCGCACTTGAACTCTTGATTTTGTGATTCACATGTGACTTTCATTATTACGAGGTACCCTGCCTGTATCGCCATGCACCTGCTACGTCAAGAACGTCCAAGAAAGTGAACCATTCGAAGACCACTCAATGACCTGAACCGCCAGTTTCAATTTCTTTGGAGACCTGAAGTGCCTGATCTTCCGGGCCAAGCGGAACCGGGTTCCGGAACAAGTTCTCTGCACTGTTGAAGTCTAATCTCTGTTGCCAGGAATTTCGTGAAATACGGTCCAAACACACAATTAGAACTGCATTTATATACATATACCGTATGTATATATACACACACGGTTTTTGCATTATGTGTCCATGTGGATCAATCAGCAAGTTAGCCGTTTAGTATAGCATTGAGATCAATTCAAGATAATTCAAGGGTCAAGTGCAAAGTGGGTTCAGTCACTTACCACTCGTTAGTCACAGTTGGGAATTTACTTATATATATAATATATATATAACTATATAATGTGTGACGTGCAACACGTGCGATCCTCCTTCATGCTCTTGGTGTGATTCCTCATTGGGTTTCTTAACTTTCTGACTGCCTGCCCAAACTTTATGTTTTTTGTTCAACGCGTTGCACTACACTCCCACCTCGTGTTCTGACATGGTGTTTGCAACCCTGTGACTTGTGGTACTTGTGGCTAGCTGAGCTGTGACAAGTAACTTGAAGTTGTACTATAAGTTCTATAAGTTATGTTATAAGTTATAAATTGATATTGTAACTTATAAGTTCAATAAGTACCAGAGTCCTACTTATGGAACATAGTAGTAACTTGTGAACTTATGGTACTTATGTTGGAGGCTACTTATTCTACTTATTTTCTACTTATTTCTAGCTATTTATTTTGCTATTTCTAGCTAATTCTAGGTAATTTCTAGCTATTTCTAGCTATTTCTAGCTAATTTTTAGCTAATTTATACTTATTTCTATAGCTATTTCTGCTTGTTTTCCATCACTGTCTACTTACTTCTATAGCTATTTGTGTATATAGTTTTCACTTTTTAAACCTTCAATATGAAAAGTTCGACTTATGTTCTTTTGGTTTTTCAACAATACTATATTCAAATAGATATATCTGGACGCATGCGTTTGTGTGATGAGTGTGCTTTGTCAAGTTGTCAAGCGGCGCCGGGGACGCTCTGTTGTGTCTGTTTTGCGCGTTCGTGTTGGATCGGTTGCTGTTTTCCGCTGTAGTTTTTGGTTGGCAGAAACGCGAATTGTTTGTTATAGTTGCGTTTCATGGCGGAATGTCAGCAGTTTTTGGCGGCGGTGGCTCGCTACCTGGTTGCATGAAAGAGAACAGTGGATATGAAAAGATGAGGGAGGACCAGTTCCACAACTGTCGCCTTAAGATGCAGTCGTGGCCGCGGAATGTATCTGAATGTATCGGAACGTATCTGGATGTATTGGCTTTACTTTTCATAGCCCCCAGAATGTATC